CCCTGCGCTGCCCCCCCCAGGCCCCGAGGGGTCCAGAGGCTGTTTGTGCCGCGCGGCAAGGCCCGAGGGTCCCCCGAGTGGAGAGCCGGCTCCTGGACGCGTCTGGCCTGAGGTCCGGCCCGAACCCTCCGGGGAGCGCTTCTTCCCGCCACCTCCCCAGCTCCGAGCTCCGGAACCCGGTGTGGACGTGGGTTCGAATCCCAGCCCTGGTTCTTGGTTCACCAAGCATCCAAAGCCCCATGCGCCCCTTTTCTCCCCTGTAACGGGCGGATCCCCGAGGTCCCCCGCCCCGCGCAGTGTCAACAACCAGGGTTCAATAAACCTTGTTTTCATGAGTGAGAAATCGAGGCGCCCGTGGCGGCTCCTGCGGGTCGGTGGCGGGCAGGACGGGGCTGGGGCTGCTTGGGCTGGGCGCCGGGACCCCGCAGGCCTCCCCCTCTTCCCGCCCCAGCCCCCTCCCCCTGAGGCTCCCAGCTCCGCTCCCCCCCCACCCCGCCCCACTTCCCGGTTCACCTGGCATATGTAAATTTCAGAAAGGTTGACTCCACCCCCTTTGAGTACAGCCAATGAGTGCTAGGCTCCATCTCGCTAGGCAACCGCAATTGGTCCATGCGTGAGGGTGTGGCCTCACGCCGACCAATGAGGCTGCGCCGCTGGTGGGGAAAGAGAACTTCCTTCCCCAGGGCCAGGCCGTTAGGTGCAGGTCCCTGAAGCCCAGAAACTGCTAGGCCTTGGCGCCAGGCTGCTGGCCTGCACCCCTGCCTTCCCTTCCCGAGCACTCTCCACAACACACGCAGCGATGTCCAGAGTTAACAAGCCTCCACGAAAGACACCAGGGGCCACAGCGAACATGCAGCCAAGTTCAAACCCCAGAACAACGCCCCCCACACACCCCAAGCCCGAACTGAGAGGTCGTTCTCTTACAGCGCCGTCCAACCAGCTCTAGTCAAAAGATAGTTTCATCACGCCCCCCTCACCCCCCAAAGAAAAGCAGATTCCATACCCCCGGGTGAGACTGCCCCCGACACGGACAAGGCCCCATGGTCCCAGGGCTGTGGTGATACCTTTAAGAGGCGGAGCCTAGTGAGAGGAATTGGGGTCTCTGGGGTGTGGCCTCGAGGGGCCTAGCAGGGCCCCTGGCCCCTTTCCTGCCCCTCTTTGCTGCTCCTGGCTGATGCTCTGCCACTTGAGCCACACATCCACCTTCTGAGTTGGAGATGGAGTCAGTCATTTCTGTCCCAGCTGGCTTTGAACCACCAAGAAGCCTGAACTGGAGCTGTGTCTCAAGGGATAGCGTGCTAGTCTTAACAACAAAAAGCTCAGGGGGGCTGGGAAGGTGGCTCAGGGGTACAGTGCTAGCCTCCATGCATGAGGCCCTGGGTTTGATTCTTCAGCACCACAGAAGCAGAAAAAGCTGGAAGTGGCGCTGTGGCTCAAGTGGTAGAGCGCTCGCCTTGAGCTGAAGAGCTGAGGGACAGCGCCCAGGCCCAGAGTTGAGGCCCCACAACGGACCAAAACAAAAACAAATCACTAATTCAAAGAAATGTGTTCTTTGCTCTCCTCTGCCTGCATTGTCCTTCCCACTCTCCCCCTCCCCCTCTCCCAGCTCTTGCGTGATCTCTGAGGGTCACAGCTGCCCAGGCCAAGCACTGCTCACACTGGCCCGCTCTTCCTTCCTTTGCAGCATGAGTGAATGAATGAATGAATGAATTGACATAAAAGCCACCAGAGGAGAGAGCTCGGGCAAAGCAGAACAGTTAAAAAATTTTTTATTAAAATGTCCAAGTCCATCAACCCGGCCACAGTGTCCCGGTCCACAGGCCCGCAGTCACGCCCGGGGATCCAGGGCTGCTCACACGCACGTGCGCACACACACACAGACACACAGAGGACGGAGGGCCCACCCACGCAGGCACACGCACACACCTGGGGGGAAAAGAGCAAAAGACAACCCCGCCTCCTGGGGGAGCGCCCAGCAAGGCCACAGACGGCGCCCCAGGTCCCGGCCACGGGCAGAGGCGTGGCCCGTGTTCCTCTCACCCTAGAAGCGCTGCACCTACATCCAGAGCCTCCTGAGCACCGGGGTGAGGTGAGGCCCAGGCTGCCAAGGGCTTGTTGGGCACCAGGGCCAAGTGTGCTGTTAGCACCGGTCAGCTAGGGCCAAGTCTGCGTGAGGGACGCTGGTGGTGTGGTGATACATTTGGTCTCTACCTGAAGTACTGAGCTGGACACAGGGGAGGAGGGGGGTGGGGAGGACTCAATCCTTCCTCTGATCTTAGCCATGAAATAATTGGGGGAGACAATGGAGGATGGAATGGGTCATGAGTCGCAGGGCTGCTAAGACTCGGGCATGGTGAGTGCTTAGCTTGGTTTTCACTGTGATTTTCTTTTCTTTTTCTTTTTGGTCACACACGTTTTGACTTCTCATCAGGGATCTAGGCTCAGTTAACATTTCTATGCATACTGATCCAGCCATGCGTTGACTTGTGTTGCCTTCCTACACAGGACCTTTCATCACTGTTTTGTTTAAATTTGTTGTTTGCTTGTGGTTCTGGGATGAACGTGGGGCCTTGGGTGGGCTTCTGGGTCAGCACCCACCACTGGGCAACCTAACCTTCTCTGAGGTGTGGTCAAAACCCTCAGATGGTGCAGTGTGGAAGGAGTGGGAGCAGACGGCAGACCTGAAGGGATCCGGGGCGTCCCCGCCAGGGGTCACAGAGGCCGGCCGGAGTCTGGCTTGGAGCAGGGAAAGTTCTTTCCCATTGAAAAACAAAAAGCAGAACTGTAAATCTATTAGAAAAAAAACACTGTGCATGTGTGTGTGTGCACGCGTGTGTTCTAACACCTCACATTTCCCTACACCATGATACTGGGCGGTTTCTAGGCCCCCCAGACGGTGGCTGGAGACTGGGCTGGGGGGGATGGGGAGGGGGGGCAGGGCACAGGGTAGTGGGTTAGAAAACTTGGTACCCCCTTGAAAGTTTAGGAAAGAGGTTCTCCGTTTCCCTGAGAGATGGAGGGGGAGGAGTCTGGCTCGTGGAACCCCAAAACTGGCAGATGGGGAGGTGGGAGGCACACCAAATCTCAGGGCTGGGTACATCTCAACTCCACACGACACGTGTGCACCAGACTCCCGGTCAGGCCCAAGGAATCACCACCACCCAATCCAAACACATGGGATTCCAATGCCAGGGAGAAGCAAAGGCTTCATCCTGGATTGAGGACAGCAAAGTGTTTACTGAGCCTGAATCCCTGTGGTACAAAGTAATCCCTTTGCATGAACCCAAATGCAGACTCAATCAAAGTGTTAGTTCAACCCCAGGGCTTTTGGCCTGGCCATCAGAGTCAGAGCCAGGAGAGGCTGGCGGTCTCCGGCCCAGCTGGGCCTCCTCCAGGAACAGAGGCCTCGGGGTTGTGGCCTTGGTGGAGGGGACTTGGCAGACACAAGGCTAAGAAGACCTGGGGGAGGGGGGGAGAGAAGGAAGGAGCTTTTTACAAAGGATCATGAGGGGGGTAGGGGGTGCTGGGGGGCTTGGCCCCTCCCCCCTGGGCTCCAGGGCGGGGGG